AGGTCCGCGAGCTCATCGCTACCGGCGCCATCGGCAAGGTCTATCGCGCCACCGCCGACCTGTCCTTCAACAACAACACCGAGGACCCCAACAAGCTGTCTTTCCCTGACTCCCATCGCATGGTCAACCCAGAGCTGGCTGGCGGTGCTCTGCTGGACTTGGGCATCTACTCTTTGACGTGGATCTTCCAGACCCTGTACCACCTGCAGGAGGGTGAGAAGGAGGCGCCCCAGGTTCTCGCAGCCGTGCAGAAGTACCCCGTCACCGGCGCCGACGAGTCCACCAGCATGATCCTCAACTTCCCCAAGCACCAGATGACCGGTATCGCGACCACCTCGATGCGCGTGGCAACCGACCCCGATGGCGCCGGCAAGTCAGCACCCGCCATCCGAGTTCAGGGCTCCGAGGGCGAGATCCAGGTCGCCCACCCCGCCTATAGGCCGCTGTCGTACAAGCTCATCAAGAAGGACGGCACGGTCGAGGCCGTCGACTGCCCCATCCCTACGGATCCGAGCCGCAACAACTGGGGCCACGGTATGTTCTGGGAGGCCGACGAGTGCGCACGCTGCTTGCGTGACGGCAAACTCGAGAGCCCAACGCTGCCGCTGTCGGAGAGTCTCGTCATCATGGAGACGATGGACAGCGCCATCAAGCAGGGCGGCATCAAGTACCCCGAACTCATCACCACCGACAAGTTTGACCCCAAGAGCCCGCTGAACCTTGGAAACGCCTGAGCCAGTCAAAGTGTAGCAGATTGGAGCGAAAATGTGTAACTAGATGCAAGACAGCAGATGAGGTACACAAGGTTCGGAGTCGACGGCCGCCTCCGTGGATCCGGGACCGGCGCCCCGATCCCCCATCTTGGAACGGGACGGAGGCAGCCGCCCAAGAACCTTTCTAATAGATAAAATAAGCAATTGCCCTACTCCGTCTTCCTTCGTGACCCAAGAGTACGTACTCGTCGTGGAATCCTGGAACGCAAGCAGGAACCGGTTCGTCAGTTTGATTCTACTCTTACACCCACCCCCTGCCGCTATGCATCCCTCCTTCCCGAAGAACCCTGATGAGGCAGGCTTCCTTCCAAAATAACGTCAGCGCCCGGCCAGGTAAGGTGTGGGAACTTGGAAGGAACCATCCATCCCAAATCATGCACCCCGTGCAATTCTGGATCTTCTACAGCTAACACTCTGCGAGCCTCATCTCACCCTACACACTCATGCAATTACCACACGTGGCCTCGGAGACGACTGTGTAACTCGGTCAGCGGCACAGCGCAGACATAATCTCGCCTGACAGCACAATTATGGTGCTGATCGGAGATTGAGTAGGTCCCAAGGACTCGGGAGCGCCGTTGGTCTTTTGGACAGTGGTTCCGGCTGCATGTGACGACATGGTCTGACGAGAAAGGAAACGGCGCAATGCAACGATTAAAGCGACGTCCCTTTTTCTGGTGTAAGTGAAGCGTTACGAATAGAGACTTAATTAACCCAGGGATGCAGAGACCCATCGTTCACCGATCGAAGCAAACATCGGAATCACACACTGATCCCCTGGTCACCGCTCGCCCGCGGCCCGCCTTGCTCTCTTCCTCCTATTCCGTGTCCCGATGCATCAGGGGGAAGAGATGTGTATTTCCCGGAATGGACTCCGGTCAGCAACGTTGCCGTTCGGGGGGCGTTCGCAGGAACCCCAAGAAGGGCTACCAAGATCCCTGGCGACAATCACGCAAGAAATCATCCAGGGTGGTTCTCCATCCGTTCATACCGAGTGATCGGAATTCCAAATTTCGTTTCGTGCCCCGGTCGAGCAATGCAACCTCTGCTCTTTCCTGCCCGTCTCCTTTTGAAAGCTTTCGTGTCTCGATCTGGTTTGCTCACACGCCGCACCACACACCCCTCTCACCCCTTTTTTTTCTCAATCAATCGCCAAAGCGGCTGAAGAGTATGCAGGAGGACCAGGGTGAAAATAAGACCACAAGCAAACACAACGATCCATGGGTCGAATGCCGCCGGCTCTCTCAGCCCCTCAAATGCCGCTTCTTCATCAATGCACGAACGAACGAGGGAGGAATGCCGTCATTGGAAGCCGTTGCCGTAAATACGGGCACACAACGGGCATTGTTTAGGCGGCAGGTTCGTGATCATGTACGACCCCGGAGCAATACTCGGCGTACCCCGAGCCGGGGATTAAAGGGCCCTAATCCCGGAACGCAACCCCCGTTCGAGGCGCGGCGTTCGTAGCGCTAGTTCTGAGGTGTGCCGCACCGTATCCGTGCCGCATTTCCCATTCTGCGTCGAGGACCCACCGCACACAACGCCTACACGTTTTTTTCTTTCTTCCTGTCTTTCCCTACCTACGGATACCTTACCTTACGTTAGGGTCCTCCAGAGTCAGCAGCCAGCGCAAACTGGCGGGGTGCAGTCCAGGAAGGCAGACAGACGCCACAGACGCACGCTCAGACTGGTTCGTTTTCTCCTCTGGCTCCAAGTCACCGCATCGTCTCTTGGTTCCTTTCCACGTCCCTTCTGCAACCACACCCGGCGAAGGAAAACCATCTTCCAAGTCCTGCAGCCCGCAGCGCACGAACCCTCCGCAGTCCACCCATTTTTCTGCGTCCCTTTTTGTCTTCGAAACCTACCCCTTTGCATTAATTATATTAGCACCAAACGCCTGCGCGCAGCCGCCCGGACGAACAGAACACACGCCCAGACAACGGGCGCTGTATTAACGCTTACCAACCTTAACGGGACCGCAGACCAGGGCCCTGGCTGAGATTGCACCACTTCACCTCCTCTTCTTCTGTCCAACCCAGGACAGAAACTTGCTTCAGCGTGGGTGTGTGACTACAACACTACCTTGTCACACGACACCGGCTACCTAGACAAGGGGAGAGAGCTTTGTTTTCGCTCTCGCCGCAAACACTGCCCTGTGAAGCTCGAACCTCCTGAAAAGGGAAATCAGCTGTAGCATACTTTGCTGCATCAGCTCTCAGCCCAGAAATCAGCTAGCCGCCCACATGGGAGCATCATCCGGCCCCCAACTCGGCGCCGGCACGGCCGTGCCCGCCTCCGTTCCCCATTTGCCGGGGCACCCTTCTGCTCTCGGCGACTCCTCCGCCGCCGCTTCCGCCGCCGCAGCCCCGTCGGCAACCCCACATGCCCGAACTGAGACCGACGGTCAGCAGGAAGATGCTGAGTCCTACGAGTCTCGCCACGTCCACACCGTCTACGAGGCCATCGCCCCGCACTTCTCATCCACCCGCTACAAGCCTTGGCCCCTCGTCTCTTCCTTCCTTCTGTCCCTCGCCCCGGGCTCCGTCGGCCTCGACGCCGGCTGCGGCAACGGCAAGTACATCGGCGTCAACCCGTCCCTCTACATCATCGCCTCAGACCGGAGCGCGAACCTCGTCTCCCTCGCACGGGACTACCAGCCCCCGTTCTACAATGAGAACGCGCCTAAAGGGGGTAAGAAGAAGGGCGGGAGCAAAACGTCAACTACCACCACCGCTGCTGCTGCTGCTGCTGCTCCCGTCGAGACTGCTCCTCCTCCTCCGCCAGTAGCAACCCCAAAAAACCAGGTTCTAGTCGCAGACTCGCTGGCCCTCCCCTACCGCCCCTCCGCCTTTGACTTTGCCATCTCCATCGCCGTCATCCACCACATGTCGACCCGCGACCGCCGCCGTGCCGCCGTCGCCGCGTTGCTGTCCTCCGTCCGGCCAGGCGGCGGCCAACAAGAACAAGGAGGCAAAGTGCTCGTCATGGTCTGGGCCCTCGAGCAAGGGAACAGCCGGCGAGGGTGGGACGCCGGCGCGGACCAGGACCAGCTCGTCTCGTGGGTCACCAAGGGCAGCAAGACCGCTGACACCGAGGCCGCCACCGAGGAGGAGAGGAAGCCCAAGGACACGACCTACCAGCGCTATTACCACCTCTACCGCGAGGGCGAGCTGGAAGAGGACGTCGTGGCTGTGGGCGGCAGAGTTCTCGACAGCGGCTACGAACGAGACAACTGGTGGGCCATATTCTGCCGGGACTCATAGTTCAACAAAAATGAAGCAGCAAAACAAAAGGGAGGGCGTCACTTTGGACAGGATAGGAATGGCGACAAAGAGGCAAGGGAAAATAAGTGATCTAGGGACCTGCAATTCTATCATGACCATATCCCGTCTCTTCATATCAAGTGACGTCTTTCGGAGCTCCTCCTCCTCTCCCTAATACACAAGGAGACAATACGTACAGACGAAGTTTCACCCACGTGCCCACATACACACACACACACACACACACACACACCCGACCCGACAACACCAAACACACCTAGTTATTTACCCATGTTTACTTGTGACACAAAAATATCAATGACGAAAAACTCCCTTGATTCCATCCTCCTTAACCCGTTCCTCACTCCGCCCCGCCCACCCACCTGCCGGGTACCGTGGAAACCCAACGGCAAATAAAAAGTTTTGTTTTCTCTTCGCATACCACGTCGCCGGCTCAGAAAATGTGTTTCGAACATGAGAAAAAGGAGAAATGAAAGTTAAATGACATGAAGTAGAAGTAAAGAGGCGGGGTAAGGAAAGGTAGATGGTTGTAAAGGACACACAAAATCCCTCCTCGCTTGGAGCGAAGGCGGGGCCCAATTGCCAAGATTTTTGACTGACTGGCGTAGAATGGGGGGAAAGCTTGTCAAGCCCGCCGCGTGTGCGTGGTGGTAACGATGTTGTTGTTGTGTATGAGAAGAAGTAAAAAAGATGGAAGACAAGATTTTTGCTCCGATCCCGATGCAACATGCCAGTGTTTCCCATTTCTCGTGCCCCTCGCAACACCACGAGCAAATGAGAGAAAAAATCAACACAAACCCCGGAGGTTCCCCATGCTATCATGAAAAAGAGGAAAAAGGGGTGCGCACACGATGGCCATGCCGACCTCCTCTACCCCTTGAAATAAAACAGGATTTTTTTTCCCAACTCCAAGTTCGCCTCGCCACCTTTGCTTGCCCTACAGTCATGCCATACGTCGCCTTTCCATCTCCTCCTGGCGAGGATTCAAGTGCCGTCGACGGCTCGTCTCTCGTGCGCCCATCTCAGTACCCGGGCTCGCTCTTCTCTTGGAGCCGGCAGGCTCGTGAGGAGGGTAGTGGAGGGCTGGGAGTAGCGGGCCTGGACTGGCCCTCGCGCTGGGTACGGGGCTAGCCGTAGGCATGCCGCCCATCGCGTACGCTGGGGTGCTGTACGGGCTCACGCCGGTTGTCAGTTCGGCTACTCCCGGAAGCATCCCCGCACCTCGGCCCGGCGGTAGGCCTTGGATCGGAGCCAGGCCGGGGCCGCCCGGGGGCCCAATGCCCGCCAGCTGTACACCCTCGTTCGGATCCGAACCCATAGGTGGCCGTCCAGGAATGCTCTCACGCCTGGCAGCAATGACTCGGCCGCCAGGAATTGGCGATATGCCGGGAGGCGGTCGGCTGTATCGTGGGGAAGGTCCGCCAATGTCCCGAGGTAAACTGCCCTGGGATTGCGAGTGCATGTGGCCGCGAGAGGGCGAATGTCGGTGGCTACCGCCTGGTTGATCGACGTTGACCGCTGTGAGGGAGAAAGGCACCACGCCAGCACGCCGGGCCATGTCGGCCTCGCCCAGCTGCCAGTGCATAGCTTCCGCAGCACGCCAAGGGACTGCCATCTCCTCTGCAACTTTCGCCCACATCTCCGGTTTGAATCTGGACACCAGGTTAGCTCATCTCTCCGCGTTGTCAGGCGAGGGAAGACCGCATGTCTTCCACGATCTCGACGGGGCGATTCATACCTCTCGTACAACCGTGCGAGCTTGTTCTTGCGCTCCTCGTCCCATTCGCTTCGTCTCTCGAGGTAATTCTGGTAATGAAGTCGACAGCTGATGGCACTCCGTCCCGGCAGACGTTTCGAAATGTCCTCCCACTTCATCCCGCTCCCCCGAAGCTCGATGATTAGCGCATCCTCCTCCGGCGACCACTTGCTCTGCTTCTTTGCCGGAGACTCCGCGACGTGCGGCGGCATGGCGCGCTTGCCGCTCGCAGCCAAGCCCGGTGCTACGGGTGGCGGGACATACGGAGGTAGTCCGCTGACAGGCGCCGTGGCCGCCGTGGTTGCGGTTGTGGAGGGGACTGACGAAGATCGAGCGTGTTGAGGAGGAGCAGCGGAGGACTCATCTGAGTCGGGGGCCTTCAGGAGAGACGCGATATCCACGGTGACGGTTTTGCCGCCTAAGTAAGTGGGATACGGCCTTGTGTCATGGGCGCGATAGACGCGCGCCAGCTTTTCGGTTTGCGGAACGCCACCCAGGAGGCGGCCGGATTTTTCTTAAAAATGGAGCTGGAGGGGCGATGGTCGGTGAGATGTTCCGACCTTTCTGAGGGGCGTATCGAGTACTCGTGGGCTCGTTGGGAAGTGCTCCCAGCTTCGCAGGCAGAGATCCGAGCAAGGTCGACTCGCTGGAGAAGGCAGCAGGATGGAGTTGGAGATGGACCGGAGAGTCGTTGACGAGTGGGTATTAGTGACAAAGGAGTCCGCAGCTGCGGACGAGAGGAGCAGTGGAGGTATCGTGAGTGTGTTGTATCAGGACAATGGACGGCTCTGGCCTCGTGAGATGGGAAACGTCCCGTGTATCCTGGTGGAGAGTGAAAAGGGGGAAAGATCTGAAAAGGAAGGAGGACCTGAGCTCAGATCAAGATGGGTGCGTAGCTGGCGGTGTTTTTGAAGGAAGTCATCAACATGATTGGGCCAGTCCGAGAGGCCGGTGACCAATGATCGGGGAAATGAGCTTGCCTGGTGATGAGGCAAGCAGGCAGGCAGGCGGACAGGGCAGGGCAGGACGGGAGGGCGTCGGCGTAAGTATACGTCAGTCAAACTAGGCTGCTAGAAGTCTTCATCAGAAAGCGAAGCTTTGCCAGAGTCATCGTTCTCCTACGGAAAGTCGGTAGAGGCCAACGAAACAAGGTACAAGCCAGTCTACGTCGGGAACTTGCGGTGCTGCAGATTGTGAATGGAAGAGAAAAGAATTAAAATGGACCAAGGAAGCAGTAGTTGGAGGGACGGTGATGGGTTGAAGAGGTAGTGGAGGTAGAGAGGTAGAGGTGGGGGACGGAGACCGGGGTCTGATTAACAAAGTGACAGCCAGGGCCAGGAAGACTTCTCTTAAACTGACGAGAGGAAAGTCATCGAAGAAGAAACGAGAGGAGACTTGAGTGGGAGCAAGGGAGGGGCGTGTGGAAGGGGGTGAGTTGAGGAAAGAAAAAAAGAAGAAGACGGCGGGATGAGGTTGACGAGCCCAGCAGCGGCACCACAGCGGCAGCAAGCCAGCAAGCAGTCCAGCAGGAGCGCGTGAGAATATGTGTGAGAGAGGGCCACCGAGGCTGTGGAGAAGGGAAAGAGACGACGAGGAGCGGTAGCGTAGCGTGTGCGTGTGTGCGTGTGTGGTGTGTATGGTAGGTATGTGGTATGTGTGTGTGCGTGTGTGCGCTGTGGGAAAAGAGGTGTGAGAAGAAGGAGAAGTGTGTGTGTGTGTGTGTGGTGTGTGCTGCTGTGTGTTTGGCAAGGGCAAAGGTTGGTTAGGTTTTGGAAAGCAGTTCCCAGAGTGAGAAGAGCAGAAACAGCAGTAGCAGTGAGCAGCAGCAGCAGCAGCAACAACAATACGGTAGCTAGCCGGCAGACGCAGTGGCAGCTACAGCAAGAGTGTACGTAGCGATAGGGCAGAGCATATATGTCAAGGTCGCATATAGGGAGGCACTGCGTGAGTGCTGGTAGATGATGGGATCTTGTTGGTGCCGCCGGTCCCTTGCCTTGCCTGGGCCAACCCGTCTTTTGCCCTGCCCTCATTGAAGAATGCGATGCGGTGGAGGTGGTCGAATAAGGCTCAGGAAGTTGACCTCACCCAGGCATAGTTTGGGAACCTACATGGATGGGCTAGTTGAGCACATGTTTGAAAGACACACGCCCCCCCCCCTCCCCGCTGCGCACACACAGACACCAGGTGGCTTCCATGCTTTCTTTTCCAACACACACCCCCCCTTGCCCAATGCCTTGTTTAGCGGCAGGCCTGGTGCTGATGTTCTCCCGCACGTCGACACCCTGGACGCTGTAGCTTAAGAGGGGTCTCGAATAGGGGACGAGGACGGTGAGGGATTGAGAGAAATGCAATGGTAGGAAAACGGCAAAGAGACTGCTTGATTTGTTGGACACTGTAATCCCATGAGAAACCTATACTCTAGCTGCTGGTAGTTTGGGTACAAAGTCATGCAAATGGCTTTTGCGCCGTAGTCGAATAGACAGTCCGCCGCCCATGGCCAACGCGTGTAATGCGAAGCCCAAGCCAAATTCACTGGTGGGCCTGGCTGGCTGGATGACAGCTCCGAAAGATGGAATCCGAGAAACGCAGACAATGGGATTTGCCTGGATAAGGGTATGTTCGTGTCCGTGTCTGATGGGCAGGCCTGGTCACAGCTCCTCGCAGGTCGCAGGGCATCAGTTCCGAGTTGGAGGCGGGTGAAAATCTCATCAATGTGGGCAGGAAAAGTTCAGAGACAGAGGGAGGAGGGGGGGAAAACGAGAGGTCGTCAAATGTGCAGGGCCCATCCATCTTCCTAGAACCCGACAGGGCCGAGCGACTGGCGGCGAGAGTGTGTTTAGGGCAAGACAAGCGTAGCGTGGGAGAGAGGAGAGACTGCGTGGGCGGGATGTGGTGGGAAAAGACGCAGGTGTCACAAAACCGCATACGGGTGCTGTGGAGTCTATGTTTGAAACCTGCTGTTGCTGATGCAGTGAAGAGTCGAGTGGACTTTGGCTACTAGGTAGGTTGGTTGGTAGGCAAGCTTGGTGGGTTGTCTTGTGTCTTGTGGATGGGATCCTCCTCGCGCCCGGCTGACGATCTGGCTGGCAGCTGGCGGGGGGAAACCTCGCAACGCTGATTCTTATGACTCTCCGGAGACGACGGGTAGCTTCGTACTCGCGGTCCCGTGGTTGGTTGGTGCCCTGAATCCGGCACGCGGTCGTAGAAGTCAAAAAGCGAAAGTATGACGGCGCGCATAGTCGAGCAGCAAAAAGGCGAGAGCTAAGAAACACCTAACGAACCGGAGACTGGGACACCGGCGGGAGCTGTCGAACAAGAGGGATGGGCCAGTCGGCCGAGGGGGGAAGAGCGCCAGTGGGCTCGCGAGGGTTCCGATGTTTGTTGGTGGCCGGGAGGACAAGCTTGAGGAACCGAACCTGAAGAGAAGGTGAGCTGCGCGCTGAGCCCTTGCTGCCACCGCTGTTGATGTTGCTGTTGTTGCAGCTGCTGCTCCGCCATTTGGGTGCTTGCTTGCTTGCTTCGCTTTGGTTTGGATGGTCCCGCCGTTACCAGTGCCTGAGCCTGTACAGATGATACCTGCGCCTGTGCGTGTTTTGGCAGCTTGCTCAACTAGGCGGTACCAATCCCCATCTCAATCCCAATCCCAAATGCGCATGCCGTTCGATGCCGATCCTAACGACGGGGCCCTGCTCGATCAAGCAATCAGGCTGCATGTCTGTCCTTGTGTTGTCTTGGGCGGCTCCTCTTCCGCGGGTTAGCGCCTGGTACCACTGACACTCGACGGTGCGATTCGGTTTGATGAGCTGAGCTGGGCAGTCTGAAAAAAGCGCCGGCAGTGCACTTGAGTGCTGTGCTCTGCATATGGCAGCGGCAACGGCAGCGGGAGAACAAGAAGGAAGAACAGTTGCAGTGAGCCCCGACGTCTGTGCGGTTGACAATGGGCGGCGTAAGACGAGGCTTGTCCCGACAAGGCCGGACAGCCAACAAACCACGTTGACAATGCGCCACTGCCGAGCGAGTCGTCGAGAGCCGTCGACAGTCCACAAGACGGGCTGAATGAGCTGGGTTGGCTCGAGAAACATTCATCAATGCCCTTCATGCTCTCGTCGAAATTTCCTGTACACGTCCCAGTTCGACGAGCCTTGGAACATCCATGACCTTGGCCACAAGCCAGGGACAGCCCTCACGAAGCCGGTCTGTCTTGTCTTGTGTTGTCTTGAGGAGGGGGGCTGCTCGCTCACCCTTCCGCTGCGTTGGCCGGCGCTTGGCTTGCCCTGCTCCTTCTCTGTGTGTGTGTTTTTTTTTTTTTTTTTTTTTTTTTTTTTGGGGGGGGNTGTTTTTTTTTTTTTTTTTTTTTTTTTTTGCTGGTGTGTGATGCTCTTCGGCTTGGCCCTTGGTCTGATGATGAACTGGCGGTCAGATATGCAGCGCAGCGCAGCTTGCAGCGTCCAGCGTCTGTCCAGCAAAAAGAGTCCCAGGACCGGGGCGGCAACGTTTTTCCCGTGGCGGCAATCCAGGTTGCGAGCTTGTGCAGAGACCTGGCTGCATCAAGTTGCCATGAACCATGATCGCCATGCAAGCCTGGGACATGCTTGCTGGGTGCTGTGTTGGCTAGCGGCTTTTCCAGCAGCCCTTTTTTTGCGGTCGTCGCATCCTTGAAGCTTGCTGTTCCCTTTTGCCGCACCACCATCACCCATGGTGATCAACCCACAACCACCCACCATGCGGACAGGGCGGCGGCCACGACGTCCTTCTGGTGGTTCGGTGTCCGTAAGCCACATATGGCTTGATTGGGCCGTTTGACGTTTGTCTGTTGTCTCCCGGAGCCTTGAACTGCATCAGCCACACGGTGTCGGTGCCTGACATGACGACGGGGCGGTCCATAAGGGAGCAACTAAGGCCAGCGAAAGGGAAAAGAAGTAATATCGCGGCCATTCGGGTTCGAAGGCGTGTACAAGGAGAGACACTCTGTTGTACAACAGCACCGATAGCGAGGACGCGGAGCTCTTTTGGGTCTTGGGAACCGACATGCAAGATTGAATATTGGCTGCTGGGACGGAATCGTCTTCCCCGAGGGCAGGTACCCAGCAGGGCGATGTACCTCAAGAGCGGCGCGGTGTGAGGTCAGAAAATCGATATTTTCTCACTTGTTCCGTCGTTGTTTCTTTTCCTTTTTGCTTCCTTCCTCCCTCCCAAATCTAGAGTGCCTTCCGAGTAAATGTCCCGATAGGCAGGCGAGGACTAGACCTCAGGCTGGCCGGGTACGTACCGCGCAACAGGTAGCTAGCTACCTTAGCTATCTACCTGCCGAAGCTACATGTCTACCTCATCTTACCTAAGCCGGTTGTCCGCGGTGCTACGACGTCGACGTCCTCTGCTGTACCTGTTTCGCGGCATTTCCTCCTTGCGCGTGCCCATCCCACTGCTGACGGAGACCTGGCTCTGGTCAGGCAGGGCAGAAACGCTAAGACAACATGAATCCTCACAAAGTTCCGCTAAACTAGCACATAGG